TCACAATGTGTATGACTTCATTGATCCTGATATCTTATTAAGGCTTGAAGAGTTGGAATGAGAAGAGGGTTTTAGGCAAGCTGAAGAAGTTACTGAATTTGAAATGGATGGTAATGAATTGTCCTCAGAAGAGCAAGAAGCACTGGCTGCAATCCGGAAAAAGAAAAGTTTGCTTATTCAACAACATAGGATCAAGAAAAGCACTGCAGAGAGTCGGCCCACTTTACCAAGAAAGTTTGACAAGAACAGGGAGTTTACAACAGAGAGAATGGGCAGGCAGCTATCAGATATGGGGCTGGATCCCTATTTGGCAATTAATCGTGCTCACTGCAGGTCAAGGGGAGGAAAAAGGGAGAGGTCACTTGATAGGGGAGAAAATGATAGTGGTGAGGCTATGGATATAGATATTGACCGACCATATGCCACACATGATGTCTAGGTCTCTGTCAATGTCAAGGTCAACATCACAGTCCAGCCTCTAAGTGAAGTTGTCCCAGAAGAGGGCTTCAAGGACTCTGCTCAAAAGGTCAAGGCACATAAACTGGCAAAGAAATCTGTTAAGAAGAGGAACAAGGATGCTCGTCGTGTGGAGGCTGATAGAGTTATTCCTACATTGAAACCAAAACATTTATTCTCTGGGAAGCGCTCCATCGGAAAGACTCAAAGGCATTAGACAACTTAAGGTGCTCACGTAAATTCTTTATTACTCTTATACTTGGCCATTCGTATTTTTGAAACATTGTCAAATTTTGTTCATTTCTTAGATGCTTATGAAAAAGCTTTGTTTGTATTCTGATTTTGTTTTATTGCTTGTTCCATGTGCACTGCTTGGCTTGAACTTCTTTGGTTCTTCTTAATTCACTTTCTGCACAAATGGCTTAATTTTGTATCAATAATTGAAGATTTTGTGTGAAGAGTTAGAATTGCTTTATTATTCTTTGGAAACACTCTATGTGTGTGGTTATCTTTTTTCCTGGACGTCAGATGCAATCTTAGTTATCATTTTATATTTCTTATTTGAAAAGTTTGCTACATATCAGTTTTTATACCCATTTTTTGTTTTTTTTTTCCCTTTTTTCTGGCAGATGTTTATAACTGTTGAACAAAGAATATTGAGTAAAAGAATGAACTGCATACAGATATTTTCATTTGTAGAGAAGTTTCAGGCACAGCAAAATCAAATGGCAAATATCACAACTCTAAACAGTGTCTTTATTCAATATATGTCAAGAAGTTAATTCAATGTATTTAGCTTCTCTCGACTGTCAGATGGTGTGTATTACTTTTTGCTCAACAATGTGTTAATTCCTCTTGCAGGAGAGGTCAATTTATGTTATGCAGAAAAGGTGTTCCGAATCTTGTAATTCACTGCTGTTGGGAATCTATGTTATTCCTTAATTTTCCTGGTCTGGATGGAGCTTTGGCTGGTGATGGCAGCAGATGGATCATAGTTTTCCTTCTTGGGCGGGTTTTGTGCACTGCCGCTATGATAATATGATATGAGTGAGACATCCTAGGCAAAAATGCTCTGCAGGTTCTGAACTTGCTTAATAAGCAGTTGATGTACGATCCGCAGGCCAGGGTTCTACTTCTATTCTGGAGTCCTACTAGTTCTAGGGGGCTTATTCCCGTTTGCTAAGGATAAATATTTGTGTGTCTAGTTTTGTACATGCATATATCTATCCATTCAGGATTCTGCTGTGCTTTCTTGCAGTGAAAATTATGGCATTGTACTGATCGAGTCTAATTCCAATATTTGACGTTCTTGTAAGGATATATTCCCCAATTTCCCTGGTCAAAAAGATGGGATACAACTACTTGAGATTGTTTGTGGAAATATTGATATAATCTAACCTAATTTTACTGTGAACAATGCTTGTACTTGGATTAACCATGATGAACAATACTGTTATATCTACCCTCTTCCCACCTTCCTCGTAAACACTTCCAAGTCACATGATGGAGGGTCGATAAGAGGTGACATTGAATACATGATGGGGTATATGTAAATCATTATCCAAGAAAGAGGTCTGCCAAAACCCATCTGAATGCAATGGAGGATTCCAGCTCAGCCCAGTTGCAACCTGCCGTCTTCTTCAACCCCATGCATATCATTGCATCATGAACGCTGTTAGCAATTATTCCTTACGCTCCATGTCAGCACTTGCGCAAGCGTTTGAATAAAAGTTCCATCATTACCTTTGACAAAGTTCACTTCATGTTCCATGAATTTGTTTGAACCAAGTCTTTTCTAGACTTATCCCTTATAATTGCAAATTCCCAGAAAAGACAATTTCGAACAGAATGATTCCTTGTTCCCTTCAACCTTCCACCTCAAAACCATTCACTCAGATCAAGGTTTTTTGATTATCTGGTTCATGGTTCAATCGTTGAGTCATTCGAATTAGTATTAAACTAATAAAAATATCTTTTAATATTATGAGAAAAGTAAATATGATTATAGGTTCACTCCAATGCCAAATGTTTTAGAGTTAGGCATTTTCTTGGTACATACAAGTCTCCATTAGGTCTTTGGCTAGATATCCCATCTCCTACTTGAGACCTCCAAAAGATAGTATCAAGTACTAATTAACTATTGAGGTGATCCCTTGGAAAATTCATTATGTTTCATGTCAACTTTTTGTCATTAAGTATCATAACAAAGAATATAATTAAGTGACGTTGATAACAAACAATTTTCATTGCAATTAAGTAGCAATAATTTAATTAAAAAAATTCTAAAATAATAATAAATAAATAAATCTTAAATCTCTAACCGGTAAAATTTGCTAAGAACATAATTATAGAAAGTGCCATATTTTTTCTCTAGATGCTAAAATTACTACACACAAAAAATAAAAAAACTAAATGGATGGTAGTTTCATATAAATTTTGAAAAATTAGATTTTAGAATTATAATTTATAATTTTTAGAATGTTATCTTCCAATGATTTCATTTTACATGATTTTTTTAATAACAATCAAAGATGGTTTAATTTGACAAAAGAATCAAACTTAAACAAATAATTTGGAACAAAGGATACATCACCCTGAGTAATTTAAAGGAAATATCCCATTTTTTCTTAACAAGTCTTAACTCAAGGAACTCTTTGATCAAAGTAGAATGAAAATGCAAAAAATGAACTTTTTGAATTTCATTAAAGAGTTAAGAGTAAGTTTTAAGAACTAAAATGATAAAAACAAACATAGAATTTCACAATGTTCTATGTCTTATTAGGAATATTGAATGACAAGAGATTAAATTATACTGATAGACTAAGTGTTAAAAGGTTAAGTCCAACTTTTTTTACTTTTCTTAATATTTGAATAGTTATGACGTATTATTACATGTCAATCTTAACTTATAAATATGAAACTAATCAATTAGAGAATTGATAATGAAAGCAAATCGTTTGATTCATCTAATCCTTATGAGACTAAGATTATAGTTCATGCCAACATATTAAAAACCTAAGGAGTTATACACATAAAAAGATTACAAGTTAGAATGGAAAATTAGAAACTGAGTAGGACATAATTGAAAAGGTTCAATTTTATAAAGCTAATTTTACATATCGCATAAAAGTTGCACAAAGTGCTAATAGAATTAAGATTATGCAATTGCTTATAAATAAGTTGCTTATGTTGCACTTGAGATACACCCAACCTAAAACCTAAAACCTAAAAAGAAAATAAGAGAAGTGACGAGAGAATTCAAACAATCACAAACGTTTCCCTAAACCTTGTCTACCAATAGCCCTATAGTGGTTTCCTTGAATATCATTTCTTGAGGCTCTTTCTTTAGCAATAAACTTTTGCTCTTCTTCTTTGGTTCTTGGCTGGATTTAAGATTCACTTGGGAATTGAGAAAAACTCGAGTGCCTCAACTTAGCTAACACTAGGCTCAGTAGTATAAACAAACCCCAAATCACAATGGTGTTAATGTTCAACTTGGAGTACATGCGGATCACCATTAAAAGTTGGACAACTTAAGGTGTGCAACAACCTAAGCTCTATGGAAACACTACCAAAACACAAGGTTTTACAGATAAAATTGTTTTTGTCAACAATAGTCCGTCAATAATTATTGACTAATTGTTGATGGAATGTCGACAGAAACGCAGCTTGCAAATTACCAATGGATTATTGACCGATTACCGATGGGATTTATTGACGAAAGTCTTCTAGGTGGCAATATATTGGCACGTAATAAAATCAAAAGGCAAGTAGATTACCGACAAAATTGTTCAATCAATAACGGCATTACCAACCAATTACCAACGAAAATGACAATTGGCAATCCGTCAACATACCGATAAAAATTTCGTCAGTGATAATCTTGTACTAGTTTAGGATATTATCAATATCAATACACTTACCAATAAAATATCCGTAGGTAAATACTTTTTAAATTACCTACAAAATTTCTATCAATAACATTAATAAATTGTTGGGAACACTTCCTTCCCCCCATTTCTCCCATCAATCCTCACTTTGCTTTCTCCCTCTCTCCATTCCAACCCACCTCAATTTTGACTCTTACCCACCAATTGAAGCACTTCAAACATCGTCGACTCTGACCTAGGCCCTCCATCAAGATATCTAAGCTGACCCAGCCCTTCTGCTAGCAAACTTGAGCCAGGTTTGTCTTTTGCTCTCTTTCTCGTATTTTTGACTACTCTTTCTCATATTTTGTTTTTTTTTCTCATATTTTTGTGATATTTTGTTGGTGAATCCCTTGAGCATGATATTTTGTAATTTTTTGGGTGGAGTTGCCTTTT